AGGAGAACTAACATGGCAACACTGAGGTCAGTGAGGAAAGAGGGTGCTCCAAGCACCAGAGCCGAAATTTTCTTCTGCAAACTGTGGTAAAACACTGTAGTTAAGTAAGCTGTCCCCCCACAGCTCATTGGGTCCCCAAGGGATATGCAGAGGTCCACTCACACAACAAGAGAGAGTGGATGCCAAAAGGAGCTATAAAATCCTGCACTCACGTGGATGTATGACTCCCGGCCACAGATTTGGGAAGCCTGTTTTTGTCCGTGAGAAGGACTCATGTTTGCAGATTGGGAGGGGCTGCTGCTCACCAGAAGAGAACCAAGTTGATGAAGTTCAGAGAGAACTGTGGGGGGACCCCACAGTACAACAGAAGACTTTTTTCTGCTGAATGAACCGAAGAAAATTAGAAGGGAAGAACTGACTAGAAAGCCCATGTTTTATCTCCCTGTGCTGTCAGTGCGAAAGAGGGAGGGTCGGGGAAGAAAAAGTGTTCTAAAAGTTTATTTTAGTTTCTCATTACCCTCTTTTAAATCTGTTAATAATTAATTTTTCTTTATACCTTTTAAATATGAGCCTGTTTTGCCCTTAGATTTTTCGTTATCTTTACCTCAACTCATGAGCCCTTTGAGTTTTTTTCCCTCCTCTGCTCAACTATAGCGGAGGAGAATGAATGAACAGTTTTCATAGATACCTGGTATTTCAACCAGTGTCAAACCACGACGAGTTGTAACATACTGCTGAAGGGATTGTCAACGATGTCTTTCACTACAGGTCACAACTCAGATCAAAAACTCACTGTGAAATCCTGGCCTGAATATACACAGCCCAGTATATGTTCAGTGTATATTTATTTTGACCACAGCTAATGACAATACAAGCAAAATGGACTCCACCTCCACCCTCCTTGAGTGTTGCTTTGTGTAAGCCAGAGTTTTGCAGAGACTTCCACTTTTCTTGTTTGTGCTCTCCCTCTCTCACCTCTTTGTTCCTGAAAACAAAAACTGTGAGGTGTCTCTGAGAGTTGGCAGGCTGCCTAGCTGCCCTTGTCAAAACGGCTTGGTCAATTTGATCAGACCACTGAATGTTTACACAAAGATTGCTTATACTTAATGAGCTGGTTAATACTCAAGGCATGTAATTTCTATGCACTGGGGCTTAAATGAAGGACCACATTCTGAATTTTGGTAACAGTAAATTACCAACAGAACCCACATGCAACACTTGAACATACACAAATATGTAACATTGACATTCATGATGAATAAAACCCATGTGATATAAATTAACAAAATGGAGGTGAACAGCACTGAGGAACATTCCTGTGCCATGGGCTGATTTACTGCAAAATTGTACTTGCTCTAGAAGTACAGTGATTCCTAGTCTCAGCTGAACTTTTAATGAAATTGTAAACTTTGCTTGCTTCGTCCTGCACTGAGGCAGACTGACCTAGCACATCACAAATAGTTTCTTTTTTTTTTCTTTTTTTTTTTTTTTACCAAACTTGCAGCAAGCCACTGGATTCCCCCCATATTTTGCCCACAAGAGCAGTATATTGTCACTCCTGGAGCAGTCTTGTAGTCCCAAATGCTGTGACAGTCATCAAACTCTAACAAGAAGTCATTGAGGGTGAAAAGAAATACCCCTGATACCTGTCCCTTAATCACCTTTTCTTTCCTTCTCCTTCCTAGGCTCTCAATCCAGCCTGATCTGATATCTTTAGGAAGTTGGGATCTATTCCTGGGACCTTTGCTCCAGGCACAAACAGCAAACCAGCATGGCACAGAGAACCCTAGACTTAGTTTTTCCCTTCTTTACTTTAACATGTCCTTGAGATGGTGGAACTCAGTTGTCGTCCTGGCTGCTCCTGGCCCTTACCTCTGCTGGGCAGGTCTCCATCAAGTGAGGAGGAGACCATAAAGTGGGGCTGGGGCTCTGCCCTGCTGCCCACACCAGGACACAAGGCACTACAGGAGCATTAAGCCCCACATCATCATTACCGTGGCATGGCTGGGTCTCACACAGATGTGGAACAGCAGAGTTGCTGCGAGACCTCCAGGCCAGATATCACATACCACATGCCTGGCAAGTGCCTGGGCATAGGGAATACCTTCTCACCAAGAAACATGTCTGTGGTCAACTACTTAGGACAGCTTGTTGCCAACTGCACAGACCACCCAGATTTTTGAGCTACAATATACTTTGTCGAGCTAACATATAAAGCTGCTCTGCCTTTCTTCGTGGGAAAAAAAAAAAAAAGAAAAGAAAAGAAAAGAAAAGAAAAGCACTATGAATGGTTCCTGCTGCAATGCCAAGAATCATACTAAGCAAAAGAAACCTGCTCAAGGGAGTCTGCAAACTATTTTAACCAAGAATCAAAGAGGGTGATTTTTTCGAGTGTTACGCTACATTAGCAAAAGTGATGTGACATCATGAATGTGTAAGTGTATATAAAAGCCTAATACAACAGTAGTTTCAGAACGGGGAGGGGAAGGGGGAGGGAGGAGAAGGGAGAGGCAGACATTTTTAAAGCAGTCTTGGAAATGTTAAATAGAACATATTTGTAGCTGTTATTTGTAACCTTTTTCATCTCATTTCTTCTGGAATATATATATTCCTGCAACAAGGTGACATAGAAAAACACAAAACAGCCCTAAGGATATCTACATACAGCCTTCACAAGAAAATTGCTGGGGAGCAGGGGCATTAAATTTGCAACCTGTCAGAGTAGTCCACTCCACTTACAACTGGCAGCTGGATAGGTTGCTTCCAAGGTAATATCTGTTCCTAGCCACCACCTTTCCAGGGGGAGGGCAAGGAGGATGAGGCTCATCAGCTGCCGTGGTAGTAGCAAGGCCCTGGAAACCCAGTGCTATATCCCGCACTTGCACATAGTAGGCATGTGCACCAGAAGCCAGAAGTGAACATGTGAACCTGAAGTATTTAGAGACTACAGAGCTGCAGAAGCTATAGCAGCCAGTGCTCTGCACAAGGAAGCAGGTTGCAAGCAGTGGTTCCAAGGCCACACCACTGCTGCCCAGGCAGAAGGCTGCCTGACTCCTTGTGTTTCAGACCGCCCACCAGCTCAGACAGTGGAGAAAAAGCCAATCAAACCATGGCAGGTTTCCATCCATAACAGGTAGAGTTATGGCAGCCAGGGCTCCCCTTGCATACAGCAGACACGGCACATGTCCAGGACTCAGTTCTTAGGTACCTGCTCTAAGGAGACGAATCACACCTCAATCCTATCTTTCCCCCCTAGCCAGAGAAGCAGCTTTCACTACGTCAGATGCAGAGTGTTACTCAAATTGACCCCACCACAGTAAAGCATTCGTCTCCCAGTTTCAGAACTCAGGCACAAAAAACACGCCAGTAAATTAACTGGCAAGTCTGAGTTACCAGGTCAGGGATGACACTGCCCACATAAAGGAGTCTGGGTTTGAATTCACCTTGGTTAGAAAGTAAAATAAGGAAGTGTATGGCTATGCAACCTCACTGGTTGTCTGGGATGGCATGCATGACTGCAGGCAATGTTTGCTCTCATCTTCAGCCCTGTTGTCCTTTGCCATCAAGTGAATGAAATTCCTTGAGCATTGGTTTACCAAAATTTCAGATCGGCCCAGTCACACAGCCCAAAGCTCACATTTAATAAGATCAGCAAATGTGTGCCTCCTCATTCCCCCTTTCCCAAAAGAAGCTGTGTTGAAAGAAGTTGTGTTGTGATACAAATTTAAAATCTGATCTTATGCTAAGTTGCTTCAATTTCTTGTCCTAGCAGTCAGAATAGTTTTTGGTTATTTTTTTAATGGACAAGATGAACTGTTCTACAAGAAAAAAGAAAAATACTCAAACTCAATGTACATACCACAGAAAACTACCAAAATTCCACTAAAAACCCAGATTTTAATCTTGGAATAACAACCCTTTTTACAAAGAGATTTTCTAGGTTGCATGAATGTATTCAAAAAAGCGACAACTAAGGCATATTCTTCATAGCCGTGTTTGTAAAAGAAAAGCTCTGGAAAGCTATGTGACTTGATCTCAGGTAAATCTTGTCAAGGTACAGGCAGTGTGAACTTTAAAGATTTAAATTACTTTTGCATGTAACAGACTGTCCATTTATACAGTTATCATGAATATGAGCTAAATTAATTTCAAATTACTGCAACAAATACTCTAGTAAGAGCATGAAGCCTAAACAGTATTTTAAAGTGCTCATTAGAAACCAAACATTTCAATTAAGACATGTTAAAGATGTTACATTCCTTACATATCAAGTCCAAAGGTAGGATATGTACACAATCTACTGTCTTGTCTTTACAAATAAGTAATTTATCTGTATATCTCAAACATGACTAGTAGCCAAAGGGAAGCTGAAAGACTATTTCAATTTGTCCAGGAATATAAAGAACCCCTTCCACAGAACAGTTATCCCACATAGACAGCTATCAGAATGGTGTACCCAAGCACTTCCATTTTGGCCAAATGGCCATCTCCTTGTCTAATTCTCTTTACATCTACTCATGAAGCATCTGCCAGTACTTTGCCACTAAAAAATTACAGCATCTCGCTTGTGACAGAATTGTTTGGGTCTCTAGAACTGGCAAGGCTTCTGTTAAAGACAAAATATAACTAAACAGAAGAAATATGCCCTGCAATATACCACAGTTTGCAAAAGAGAAAAGATCTCTGAACTACACAGACCATCATATAACAAAAATATTGACCAATTTTAGTGTTAATTTTCGAATGAACTGTAGTGCTTATTAAAAAATAAGACGAAACTAATTAAGAGGCATTTGTGATACATTTAAAAGCCTACATCAGCTATCTTATAAAGCCCTAACTTAACAGATGCAATAAGTCTGCTAGTCTTATCCTCACAGCAACTAATCAAACATCTCCATCCACAAGTTTTCTGTGATTTTGACTTAACAGTTTTGCAGCATGTGGTATTACTCTGTGCACAGGTTAAGCCTGTTTCACAAAGGGCTAATACGAGGTACTGTGAAATGTTAGCATTGTGCATCATTTTAATCCCCATAGCGCACATGCTTTTCAATAATCCCCTTCGAAGTACAACATGACAAATTTTCAAAGATACAAAACCCAAAAAACACAAATCCCACGTTCATTAAAGCACAATAAAAATATTTACGTTCCTGTCATTTTTCTTCATTTCTCAGCTGCCATGAATGGCAACATTTTGTCTTTTCAGACTTTGCAACTGGACTTTGTCCTTTTCAGACAAAGAGTATACCCACGCACATACAGTAGCATGATTACAGTAAAATCAAAACCCACAAAATAAAATAACAGTGGACATTCCGTAAGCAGATTTTTAACTTCAGGTAAACTCTTCTGCTAGGCTAAAAGCAAAAATATGCTGTACAAAATCATGTTAACATCTGCAGTAATAAGCTTTGTTTAGCTTAGCTTAGCTTCAGCGCAGTGTGTGGCCAGACTGATCTATGCAATTTCTTAAAAGAACAGGTAGACAGAAGCTTGTAAAGCTCTATTTCTTTTCTACTTGTACCCATTAGCAGATTCTTCCCTTGCAAAACATTCACGTGAAAAAAATTGACTGTGGCACTCAGCTGAGTTACAAAACACAGGTGTATTGGCAGCAAGAGATGTCAAGGTGATAAACGACTCATTGGACTGCTTTCTTCTCCACCTGCAGCAAGCTTGAGTGTTGTGAGTTTCCGAGGGGGATGCTGAGGACTCTTACGAAGGTTGTTGTCCATCTGCAGAGAAACAATGAGAGCCGGATCTGGCAACAGCAGAATATAGATTATACGATTAGTCTTATTTGTCAGGGCTGCCATCATTAATACTGGGTTGGTGCATGCTTACTGTCAGGACCAGCAACAACTGGTGCTTCGGTTTCTTTCTACTCCCGTATATATGCTTGTGTTAGAGCTCCTAATCATTCTCATATATGGTGCATCAAACCCAGGGCATCTGGATGTGCTTCTGCTCAAGCTGTTTGGTCAAGATTACTGAAGGAAGCAAGACCAATTCTAAATATTGTACAATAACCAAATGCTGTGAGAAGGCAGATCAAGAGTCAAACTGCTAACATCAGTGGATGCTTATGTATATTCAGCACCAATAAATATGCAAGAATAAATCTTTTGAAATCAGAAATGTTCTGGAGATGCTGAGTGAATTTGTATTAGTTACACATTGCAAAAAGTACGTAATAAAGCGCTTGTGGCAAGACCTTTTCAAAGACAGGATAAAATTCATCTCTGAATGTAAACTATTTACATTTTCATAGGAAATCACTCTAATGCCCTGTGTATAATGTGGTCTGAAAAAGTTTAGTTGGTATAGAATAAAAGCACAGGGGGGATCTGCAGAGGCTGCCTAGTCTATTCCATTTCTTGAAGACAGGATCAAATTTTCTTCAATCATGCCTGACAAATGTCTATGTAACCCATTGTTTAAAACTTCCATAGCCACACTTCAAAGCCAGAAAAAACATCAGTACCTAATGCTACAGAAGCTGATCATAGTTAATGATCGACTTCACACACTGATCTTGATCAGAAAGAACTGCCTTTTACCCTTTCAGTTAGAGTGTTCTATCTGCTTGAAAAGGCTAATTCTTCACAAGTATTTTTCAGGTAAGTTGTACAGTTTTTGACAGGTGCTGAGTGACAGCCTTAGAAATAAAGAACATAAGAAAAAACAGCTAGATGTAGAACAAGCAGGACAAGAGTGACTGCCAGTTAGTTACTACAGCATGCAGCTGGGAGCAAGGAAAGCTGGTGATCAGTCTTAATTTGCAGGACCATTTCTGAGTTTTGATCAATACATTTGCCTCCTTCTTTGCTGATTGTACGCTTGCGGAAAGATACCACTCCTCTGTTGCTGTGCACACCTGTAAGACAATGTTCTTTTGGTTGTATTAAAAATACATTTTTAGTGCAAGGCTTCATTAATTCCTCCTTCCAAATGATGCAATATTCTTCCCGCCTCTCTACACAATGTAACTCACTAGAAAAGAAGTAATTAAAATAAAGTCCACTGTATAGTTGCAATTGCCATGCAAGGATATCTGTGAACAAGTAACCACCACAAAGCAGTAAAATACTGAAGCAAAAGTAACCTTTTCAATCAAGTTGGATTCCTTATTTACAAGCTGTGTGAGTTTCTGCAGATTAGCATCTGCTGTATCCTGTCCAGCTGGAGAATGGCCTGGAGAGTGAAGGTAGAAAGAGTGAAAAGGCATTTACAGCAACTTTTAAATTCTTAAAAAATAAACTCATATTGGAGAGTGCATGCAGTATTTTTATGCAAAGAAGAATTTAAGTGTAAAAGCCATTCCATGTGAGAAAATCAGGAGTACTAAGCGTGAGCCAAAAGATTTGGCCAATGCTTGACAGAATACGAGTATTAACGCTTGCTTTTAATTTTGAATCCTTTCTGCCCAACTTTAGAAGTTTCTTCATTTCCCCACAGGAAGTCTAGCATAAACTACAGGAAATCTAATCTGCCTTGGTTCACAAATGGAAACCTGGAGTACTAATCCCAACAGGAGTAGAGATGACAAAAAGGAGAAAAGAAACACAACTTACCTGAGACAGTTAACCTGAAGTAGCAAGTTAAAATATCATCACAAAATCGGCACAGATTGGGAAGCTGTTTCAAATGCTCTTGCAACTGTACCCGTGGGAAGCACACTTTATAAATTGGTGCAAGGAAGCCAAATACAAAGGCATCCAAGGTGGTAGGCCTAAAAAGAGTGACACAAGAAAACACTGAAGTGACTCAAAATAAGACTTATAAGATTTCTACAACCTAGTTTTCTGCGTATGTCAAATACATCTCAGGACAGAATACAGTCAGCCCTTCTGTCATTTCACCTTTGCCGATCAACCTGGTAAATGCTTTGTATCAACTATCTACTCCTTTCAGCATCTCTTAACTAGAGACAGGCTGGCAAGCTGAAACAGTAATATGAGCATTACAACACAGTCATGCTGCGTTAAGCATGACACTCTAAAACACCTTTTCTGGTACCACAAAAGTCATGCTGGGGACATGGAGACCAGGATCCTCTCTCACAGAGTGGTCCACCTTCAACTTCTAGAGATCATGCTTTTCAGGACCTGTTGACTCTATGTTGTTGGCCCTATCTGCTTCCTGCTCTAACAGATACCACAGGAATAGCGTTCCTGGACCTACACTCTCCTGCCATGAGTGCAGCAACACCTCAGCCTAAAGCATTTTTTCCTACATACAAAGTCAGGAGGTGACATTCAGTGGCTAAAGTGTTCTCCAATGGACCTCACATTTTCTTAGCAGCTGTGGAAAGCATTTCCCTCTTTGTGGAAAAAAGCAGGATAAGAGAGACACCACTTTGACTCAGTCTGACGATCTCATTGGTGCTCTGTTTGCTCATTCAGATTTATCTGAAAAGCAGAGTGTGAGACATAAAACTATTGGGAAGAACTTTTAACATTCTGACAAGTTAAAAAGAAAAAAGCAAGGTCAAGTGTTCACAGAATGGTGTGGTACTTTTTATTAGTAATTTACCAAAATAATTTTAAAAAATCATCATACTCACGTATCTCCAAAGAAAAACTGAGATGTTCCCAATCTCTTCGACAGGAGATTCAGGCACTCCTTGGCATCCCTGTATATCTGATGAGACACAAGACTGTCTAAGAGCCCTAGGTGTAGCCAGGCTGGTATGCACAGCACCATTCATCATTTGACTGTGTGCTAGTCTGTTTCAGTTCTTGTCTTTGACAGAACTTAAAAATTCTTTACTGCTCAACACATACCTGTGCTTCCACTTCAGTGAGACTATAGAGTGGAGGGCCTCCCTTGGTCAGCAAGATCCTATTTAGTGCTTCCCTTGACATCTTTCCAGGCAGATACAAACTCAGTGGGAAGGCAATCTTTGAGGCATACCATGGCTTTGTTACACTGCAGTAATTTTCAGCCTCAATCCAGAAAGTGTGCAGCTGTAGCAACATGAGGAAAAATTTAATTGAAATCTGAATGACATGAGTAGACACTTTGTGATATTTGATATGCAAGACCTCTCTCAGAAAAGCAGAAGAACCAGGAATTATGGTAATTTAAGGCTATCAGGCTTTGTAGAGGAATATACTAATCCTCTGAGTGTAGGAGTACATGAGTAACGCAATAGTTACCTTCCAAATGAACAAAAAAACCCCACCAAAGATATTACAGAGATCTATATGCATCTGCATAAAATTACATATTTACTACGTATGTACATACACACACACTGTATATAGAAAATACATTGTATATAGAAAATATATTACAAAGTTGAAGATACACAGCAACAGGTTTGAACTTTCTAGAATTTTGTTTTGAAAATTTATATAAATCTTAAAATACAAGATACCACAAAATTCTAAATTTGAAACCAGGGTCAGCTGAAAAGGCTAGCTTATGATGCCATCTGGTCAGAGTATTCTTCCCTCTACAAACTGAAGCCAAAGTGATTCAAGAAACTCAAGTGTCTGTGTGTCTTATCGCTCTAAATTACACTGACATAGTAATACCGTAATATACTGTAATACACTGTAATACTGAAATGGCCATGTCTTATTTAGAATCGAAAAATTAAGCTAGTGATGGCATTTTAATTTATTAGAAGTTTTAACTCAACAGTTCAAAAGGCTTTCAGTTGTGTGTCTCACATCAGACACATCTTAATCAGAGATTTTTCAGGAAATCAAACGAAAGAAAAAATGACCACAATAAAGTGTTTTCAGGATATTGTTTCCCAAAGACCAACAGAAAAAAACCTTAAGTGTCCTTTTAAAACGTCTTTCATAAATCTATTATTATTACTTTGATACTCCACAAACACACACTTATTTCCAAAAAAACAGACTAACAAAACAACTATGTTCCAGCCAGGGCTGTGGCGGAGAGACTGTAATGTCTTTCACACGGGGCACCTCTTACAGCATTCAATACCAAGTATTATGACCATTACAAAGTATTTATTAATATTTACCAGAGCAGGAAACAGTTTCTCTTCAAGTAGTGCAACATATGCCAGTGTGTCAGCTCCTTGTTTTGCTGACAAATCATAATCAGCATTGTATTTCTACGAATTTAAAAAAAAAATAGTCTTACTCAACTTTCAAAAAACAGTAGAAATGGAAAGTTACTTCAAACTTAACACCTACCAAGGCAGTAAATATATAAACAATTTTTGGAACAGAAAGCACGCACTCACTAGAATTTTCCTTCTTCAGGCTAACTCTCCCAAATCGTGTTGCATCTCGCTTTTCCACTTTCCCATTCCTAGAGCTTTGGGCCCTTCTATTTCCAAAATAATTATTTTGTCTCTACCTATTTATTTCCAAGCAAATATCCAGCAATACTGAGGCAACTGTTCAATACTCAGGGATGTAGCAAACCTCTGGTAAGTCTCCATGGTTATTTTTCAAGAAGCATCTGACACTTCAGCAGGTGTAAGTGTAAAAAAAAAAAAAAAAGAAAAGACCTTCCAATATTTTGTTTCTAATGAACATTCTGAAAGTTAAGAAATTGGATGGTAACAATGTAAGGGAATAGACAAACAGATATACAGCTAAATTAATGCAGTTACTGACTAGACTTTTAATTCTTCTAATTTACATTAGAAGGATTGAAAAAATTGTGGGGAGGAGTGAGTAGATTTGCTTCATTAATTTATAAACAAAGGGCAAGTGCTGACACTTGAACTTCTGAAAAGCAAGCATACAATTGCTGTATTTTAACATAAAGAGGTTTTTTTCCCCTAACATTATGGAACCTTTGTTATTCACATGAATACCAAGTTCAAATTCAAGTCAAACTAATCTGAAAAACTTCAGAATTTCACAACTGTCTAAAAATTCCATCTCAAATGTAGTTTTCCGATTCTTTTTTCTCCCCATGAAGATCTGTTTTCACTAACATGGCATTTATCATCTGACCAGACAGGAACTGCATTTCTGCAACATAAATGCAGAATAGTGGGCTAGAGGACCATCTTAGGAAAAAAAAGATGATGCCATGGTTTACTAGATGTCTTTATACTTTGTGAAAAGAAGAAATTGCACAGGTTTATTCTTTGTGTACAAAACATTAAGAGTCCTACAAAAGGCAAGCAAGAGGCAATAACCTGGTGTGCATCAAGAAACACCTGCAGACATTTTCATGTTACAAGCTATCGAAAAACTAAAGAGATTAAGAACTATGCTGTATGTATTATCTTTCAAAAAACCAGCAAATTACTCATTTAAACTGTTAACCTAAACTGTGATATCCTGGGTCTGCAAAGTCAAAATTACATTAAAAGTGTTATAATTACAAGCAGGGTGATCAGTAAGAAAAACTGCTCAATTAGGGACTATTAGTTGCCCTTTTAAATTAAATTTCTTTCATGCTTATTTTTAAACCTTTCACACAACTAATGATCAAACTTTTATAGAGCAATTTCTTATCCACCATTTTGCAATTGCCATGCATGTACGAGAAACAGAAAAGCATTGGGCATGACATAAACTCCAGGTTTTTGGAAGCTTGTATCAGTGTAGAAAGGAGACATGAAAAAGTCACCGCAAGTCAAAGAAAACAAACCTTTTTGAAAAAGACCTACCTGCCTTCTTAAGAAGTTTAGTATTTTTGCTGGCTGAGAAATAACAATGTCTTCTGATACCAGGACCGGCAGATCTCCTAAAAGGCAGAAATAATACAGTCAACAATTTATATGGATGAGTTCTAACCAGAAAGCAATCAGTCACTCTATGTACTTTCCTTTCCTCAATAGCACGCTCTAATTTTTGTAACATGTAAACATAAAAACATAAAATTTGACATAGCAGGTGATTTCTACTGAGATTACAAGTACTCTTAGTCTATTGTGGCCTTCACTAATAATAAACATAAGAAAGGGCAACATCAAATCAGACTGAAGCCAGTATTTTTTGCTAGGTATCCAGTACTTTAAAAACCAGGCTACTTGTCCAGATTTCAGACATTCGTCTTAAGACAAAAATTCCAACTCAATCCAACTGCTCTCTCGATTCATCTACATCAGAGCTTCTTTCCAATTTTATCTTTGTCCTTCCCCTCCAAATCCGATTTAACCATCATTTTTCTCTAACCTTGCTGCAAACAATGCCCAAGCTCCCACTACATTACCATGAACTACTCAAATACCTAAGTACTTCCCTCTGCCAGACGTTGATAGGACAGCCTTTAGTAGTAAGATTGTCGGATCAAAGCCTGTGGAGTGCAAAGTCTCTGTAAAAGGGGCTACCTTACAGCACGTTCACAACAGAATTGCCAGAGTGTCCAACAGGACAGTGCTAAATAATATTAAAACATCAATTATCACCAACACTTACTGATTAAACTGCTTTCTTAATTGATTTTATGTATGTTCATTACGAAGATAGCCACCACATTTCTAGCAAGTCCCCCAGCTACTTCTTGGTATTTTCCCCTAACAGAAAACAAGACACTAAAAAGCAAGAACAAAAGGCTCAACTTCTGCATGAATACAGTACTGCCTGAACTGATAATGTGGTTAAGTGTAAGTGACATAGGATTTTAACCCTACAGCGATTTTACCTCTCTTAAATACACCAAGACAATAACTGCTAAGCAAACAAGTAAGCAATAAATAGAAGCATCCAAAATAAAGAAGTCCTCTCTGACAGCTTACCTTCACCTTTTCTCAGTGAAACTCTCTAATTCAACACAATATCAAACAACCCAGCTAGTGTAAGCTGTACTTGCTGAGGCTCACATTCCACTTCCAACTGTACCAACTCATTAAGCCACAGGTAAAACAAGAGCTCTTCCATGCACATGTCTAGTTACAACCTTTATAAATATGCAAAGTGCAAAATGCTTACAAATTTGCTTTCACTATACCATCAATTCAGACTGCTTGACTGAAACAGTTATGTACTTGGCATTACTGCTTTGTTAACTGTCTGTAGCCTCACCCATACATATTTTAATAAACTGTCCTCTGGAGCACTTTATTTATGATTCCAATACTTTAGTCTCACAAATTCATCACACTTGATCCTGTGAAGTCATTTAACTGGGGCTGACTGCACTCATGAATACAAACCTAATGTAAACACAGAAACTGGAACCTACATTTAAAACACCTGTGACTAGAGTAATAAAGACTGCAAAGATGGTACCTTTCGGAGCTTTCCAGGAGTTATTTACAGTATTCACTATCAGAGGAGCACCAGAAAATTTGGCGTAAGCCTGCAATAAAGATTGGAGGACAGTGGAGAAAACCTGTCACAATAGGTAAGAAAGAGAGCTTCAGAGGTTGCGTTAAACACCTTCGTGCACTGAGGACCAACGGCCACCAGGTGCGGGAAGGGTTTCGGTCGGGCTTCATTGCCCTAATGCTCCAGGGAATGCTGGGCAGAGCCACCGCAGCGCCCGGGAAGGGCGGCAGCGCCGCCGGGAAGGACTCGCCGTCCCCGGCAAGGCCGGCAGCGCTGCCCGCGTCTCCCGTGGGGAACGAGCCAGGCCCGCGCCGCGGGCCCAACACCCCGCCTCCCACCCCCGGCCTCTCCGCAGGCAAGAGGGAGCCCCGCGGACATTGGTGCGGGCGGCAGGCAAGTCCCGGGGCGCCGCCGCTCCCTCCCTCCCTCGCGGGCCGGGCGCTGGCCGCCGCCCGTTACCATGACGACGAGAGACTCCGGGTGCAGGGACGGCAGCCCCCAGTCTCCTCCCCAGCAGATCAGCTCCATGGGAGCCGCCATCTTGTCCGCCGCACCGGCCGCGCAGCGCGGCGCTGCTCCCCCGCGTGGCGGCGCCCGAGCGCCCGCGGCCGCGTGCGGGACTCGGGGCTCGGCGTTCAGGGCTCGGGGTTCAGGGCTCGGGGTTCAGGGCTCGGCGCTCGGGGTTCAGGGCTCGGCGTTCGGCGTTCGGCGTTCAGGGCTCGGCGCTCGGGGTTCAGGGCTCGGGGTTCAGGGCTCGGCGCTCGGGGTTCAGGGCTCGGCGCGGGAGGGAGCGCCGCCGGGAGGGAGCCGGCCGCAGGGCCTCCTGCTCCCGGGAGCCCGCGCTCGGGAAGTCACGGAGGCACCGAATCTACTGGGTCACACAGACTCAAAGAGTCTGCACCCTTTCACAGATGTGAAAGAGGAATCATGGGTTAAACATCTCACACGCATACCACACAGCCACCCTCAGCAGTACATTATCCAGGAATAAATTACATTCAAAATATAAAATGACCGAAAAGTACTGATTCTTTAACCTCTCTTCTTCTCAACCTTCTTAACTTCTGCTTTCTTGCCTTCTTCTTTATTCTGACTATCAAAAATGTTGAAATGTTTTTACAATGTTGTAAAGCCTGCTTTCCTCCCCCCCACAGTCTATCTCTGAGGTCATCGCAACCAACTTTGTGGCCGAACACCATGTCAACCAGACCATGGCACCAAGCGGATTTTCCTTGAACAACTCTAGGTAGGGTGACTCCACCATCCCCTGGGCAGCCCATTCCAGTGTCTAGTCACCCTTTCTCTGAGGAGATGCTTCCAAAATATCCAGCCCTGGCACAGTTCAAGATTATGTCCTCATACCACCCACATCCCTTCCCAAAAGAACAACCCCTGCCCAGCTACAGCTTCCTTTCAGGTAGTTGTAGAATCTCTCCTGAGGTGCCTCCTTTCCACCAGGCTAAACAAACTCAGCTCTCTCAGCCCCTCCCCACAGAACTTGTGCTCCAGAGCCTTTCACAGTTTTATTGCCCTTCTCTGGACTTGCTCCAGCACCTCTATGTCCTTGAATTGAGAACTATTGAGTCCTCTTGTCCTGTCGGTACTTGCCTAGGAGAAGAGGCCAACCCCTGCCTGGGAACAAGGACCTCTCAGGTTGTATCCAGGTGGGGATCAGCCTCTTGGGAAGGGGCTAGTGCCTGTGATCCTGTGGGGAAATGCTGCAGCCGTAGTCCTCTTGAAAGCTGTAGCCCAGCAGCTGTAGTCCTCTTGAAACGATTTTGGTACTGTCTGGCTGAGCCCTCACCCTCTGGCCTTGATGCTGCACATAGAGTTGTGACTTTTCATAGGAGCAAAAAAAAAATTGTGGCTCTCGATCAACTGTGAAGAACAACCATCAGCAATTTGGCTCTAAAAACAAGGAGCTCTGATCATATGTTACCAGTTTTGACCAGGTTATAATGATAACCCATTCAGTATGGTTTTAACTGCAGACGTTTAGAGGCATCAGGTTGTCAACTGTTTGTTCCAGAGCTTGTGCAGACGTGCCACGGCACATCTAAATGCTACGTCAAGTTTCCATCCTTCCCACAAAAGGAAAAAATACCACACACTGACTGAAAAAAACCCCTGCACTGACCACCCTTATTCAGGTCTTCTGTGCATAAAGAGGAGAGTAAGGGTAAAGTTTCATTTTTCCTTTCTTCTTCCCATATCCACAACTTCAGATTCACATGGAATTTGTAGAAGAAAATGTCACGATAAAAATTTATGCCATAGATCTACTAGATCATTCTGCTCCATTTTGTGAGGAACATGGGAGAAGAAATGCCCACGTTTTTCCTCAGAAAATCATACCACTGGCAATGCTAACAGAAGCAATTTTTTTAAATTGCTACGTTACATTATTCCTTCTAAAGACTTACTTAAGATATATATTCTAATAATACTTTTTATGTCTTTTTCTCCCTACAGGCACCAACTAACTTCCCAGTCTGTCCAGGTACTTTGCTTTGGTCCTTTCACTGTGTGAACTGGGATGCACTGAGATGCAAAGCTCTGAAAGGGAATTGTGGATGCTTGCAGCTGTGATCCCAAAGATCTGTTTCAATAAGGAGTATTTTACAAAGGGCTCAGTACTTATATCAGCCCTGTTTAGTATCTTCGTTGATGACCTGGAGAAGGGGATTGAATGCAGCCTCGGTCAGTTTGTAGGTAACACCAAGCTAGGTGGAAGTGTTGATCTGCTGGAGAGCAGGAAGGCTCTGCAGAGGGATCTGGGCAGGCTGGATCATGGCTGAGGCCAATGGTGTGAGGTTCAACAAGGCCCAGTGCTGGGTCCTGCCCTCGGGTCACAACAACCCCAGGCAGTGCCACAGGCTGGCACAGAGTGGCTGGAAAGGACCTGGGGGTGCTGGTGACAGTGACTGACCATGAGCCAGGGTGTGCCCAGGTGGCCAAGAAGGCCAATGACATCCTGGCCTGGATCAGCAATAGTGTGGCCAGCAGGAGCAGGGCAGGGATTGTTCCCCTGTGCTGGGCACTGGTAAGGCTGCACCTTAAATCCTGTGTCCATTTTTGGCCTCTTCACTATAGGAAGGCCATTCTGGTGTTGGAGTGAGTGCAGAGAAGGGCAATGGAGATGGTGCAGGGTCTGGAGCACAAGTGAGGAGTGGCCAAGAGAGCTGGGGGTGTTTATCCTGGAGAAAAGGAGGCTCCAGGGGGACCTACAAGTACCTGAAAGGACACTATAGATGGGTGGGGTTCCGTATTTTCTCCTGAGTAAGAAGTGTTAGAACAAGAGAAAATTGCCTCGAGTTGCACTAGAGAAAGTTTGTATTAGACATTATGAAAAATTTCTTCACTGAAAGAGTTGTCAAGCATTGGAACAAGCTGCCCAGGAAAGTGCAGGAAAGTGGTTTGGGGTCACTATTCCTGGAAATGTTAAGGACGCGTTTTAGTGGTGATTATGGTGGTGGTGCTGGGTTGATGGTTAGACTTGATGAACTTAGAGGTCTTATTTTAAGAAAAATCTAACCACCCTATGAGCTTTTCTATCGTCTGGCTTTTCTTAAGGCAGGCTGCAAGAAGGCTCAGGAGGTAAATAGGGTAGTAAGCTTGGCATTGCCTTCAGGCCCAGTTTATCTCTCTGTTGTTGTGGAGTCTGGAGCAAAGATGAAAAAAGAGGCAATCTCTACCTTCCCTCCCCCATGTCAGGAACTCCTTCCTCTTGATTGCCTACCTGGAATTCCTATCAGTGTAAATGAAAAGTTAAATAGTGCATGGAAGATGGATATATGACTTGACTTGAAAAAGTGGAGCTTCAGTTTGTGTTTTGGAAAAGCAAAAATTCTTTTCAAACCTGTTTTTGAAACTTGAAACCCTTGAAGCCAACAATTCTTTTTTTGAAAATGAAGCAGAATCAAAACCAGGAGTGTTGACATAAGTATGAAAGGATGTGTTTTAGAGCTGATAGTTCACTTGCCTTAAGATTTCTGTATTTTAATTGCCCATGGATCCTGATTTTTAATCATCCATATAATTCCATGAAAATAGTGAGTCTTCTGATGCATATTAAGAACAAAACATGTAAGGAGAATTAAGCAGCAGGGTTGTTTCCTATTTCCCTTACCCCGTTATTTGGAATTTGAACAAGTAATAGACATTTCTTAAAGCAAAATCTGTAATGTTTGCAGCTTCTCTGTATTGTGTATGCTTAAAATCTTATCAAATTACATACACAGGTTGCACATTATAGTGATTGAGGTTTTCTTGCAGATTCTATATAAAAAATTATAGTCAGATACTTATTACTTCCTTACAGAATATGACTGACATTATGAAAGTTTCTTGGAAACATAATTGATTAATCATGTTTTTATTTTTGCTTCTTATTTAACTTCCAGTAATTTAAGGTGGAGTTTGTACTTCAGAGAAAACACAAGAGTGAAAAGGCAATTGCTAGTATTCCATTGTTTTTATTGAAAATGTTGATTAAAAGGTCAAATTGTCCCTTCCAGACAGCAGATAAACTTTCTACTTTTTGAAATCCCTTAAAGAAGGTTGGACTTGAGCTCAAAATGCCTTTTAGTATGTAACATATTCCAACATAAAACTCAGTATAGAAATGAAAACTGGAAAAATTACAGTGACCTTTACATGTACTAAGTTCATCTAAACAAGGACTTAAGCATCTGTTTATATATATTGTTCCCTTCTGTCATATTGTGCCGCATTGGCTGTTTGCCAAACATTGCTTCCATGTGCATTCTCTGTGAGTAAGCACAAAGAATGAGCAGATACAGAGCAAGAACAGAATATGGCCCTCACAAATCTAACACTTATATACTACAAACAAAATCCTCCTCCTGTAGGGCTGGTCAGCACCAGTGGCAGAGACTCCTCTGTATTTAAATCAGAAGTAAGGAGTGGTAAGGTATAATTACTTAATAAATTTTTTGTCAGATAAGGAAATCTTTTAAGAAAATATTTAATATGCTTTGATAAACTCAATGATTAAATTATTATGTACTCAATAAACTCAAAGTATATAATAAATGGCTGAAAATTACTGATTATATTCCCCTTAGATGAAAGCAAACCCTTAATATCCTTTTCTCTCTCTTTTTTTTTGTCCAGAACTGTAGTGATTTTGCAGACGTTCATAGTGTTTTTCTGTCATGCACTTAAGTATATGTTTGCAAAAAATGCTCTTTGTTGAGTCAAGACTTTTCCTTAACAAGCAGTTGAACATAATCAGTGCTGCTTTAGATCCACATGTTAGCCTTGAAGCATCTGTGCTGTCTCTCCATGCTTTAGGTGGGGGACAAATTCTGAGCTAACATTTCTTTTTAAGGAGCTTATGACACTCAAAGTTCTTCCTACTCTTTTCCATCTTCTTGCTGTGGGCACACACATTTAGAGAGCTAGAGAATTACAGCTTGAAAATTCTTTTTCAGGCCTGAATTTCTCCTGACTCTCAGGTCCATTCCCAGGCTGATAAGCTGACTATGGCTTCAATTAGGGAGGAAGTCTCCCAAGGTGATAATATGGTGAA